CCCCTTTTCTGCCATTGCAAACCAGGAAGTGGGTTCTCACCAGACACAGATCTGCCAGAGTTCTCAGCCTCCAAAAATGTGAGAAGTAAATTTCTGTTAGCAGCCTGAATGGACTAAGACTGTCTGTACCTGCTATGACCATGATGCTTTTTAGACACAATTTCAATCTGATCAGCAATCTGATAAGGCAGGTATTATATACACTTGTCTTACAGATGACAAAATGAGACTGAAGAGGGTAGTTAAGTAGCTGCTCCAAGGTCACAGACCTAAAAGTAGACCTACATCCAAACCCAGGTCCCATTGGTTTCAAAGTTTATGCTTTTGCACTGCACAATGCTGCCTTATGCAGTGTTTTCATAGCAATACAAATAGATGAGAAAAATTAGTTGAAATAAAAAAATTTTTTTAATGGAAATACGATGAGAAAAATTAGTTGAAATAAAAAAATTTTTTTTAATGGAAATACAGTGTGGTGTCATGAAGCAAAACACTGGACCAGGTGATATAGAACAAGTAGATCCTACTCTGCTATGAACCACCTAACCGTATGACCTCAGCCAAGATACTCCATCTCAAAATCATAAAATCAGACTGTAAATGCTAAAAAAAAATGCATATTGAAAATCACTTACCCCTTCTCAATCTTCTCCCTCTGCAGAATTTGAGGCTCAGATGAAGCCATTTGTCTACAGTCACACAAAGGCACAATTTAGGTCTATCAAACCCATCTAGGGCTCCTTCCACTGGGTTGTGTCTCTCCTCCCTAGGTCTTGGTCTCCTTGTTTACAAAGCAAACCTCCAAGACTGTATTCTCTTAGTTTGGGCTGTTAGAGAGGAATACCATAGACTGACTGGGTGGCTCCAACAACAAACATTTATTTCTCATAGTCCTGGAGGCTAGAAGTTCAAGATCAAGGCCCCAGCAGATCTGGTGTCTGGTGAAGGAACTCTTCGTGTTTGCATCTGACTGTTTTCTCCTTGTATCCTCACACAGCTGAGAGAGAGAGACAGATAGCATCTCTCTTGTTTTTAATTTTTTAAATTTGAGTATAGTTGACACATAATGTTACATTAGCTTCAGGTATACAACATAGTGATTGAACAAGTTTACACATTATGCTATGTTCATTGCAAACGTAGCTACACTGTACAATGCAATTACAATACCATTGACTACATTCCCTCTGCTGTACCTTTTATTGCCATGACTTATTCATTCCATAACTGGAAGCCTGTATCTCCCACTCCTTTTTATCCATTTTGTTCATTCCCCCCAGCCCTCTCCCCTCTGGCAACCATCAGTTTGTTCTTGTGTTTCTTCTTATAAGGGTACTAATCTCATTCATAAGGGTTCAGTGCTCAAGACTTAATTACGTCCCAATTACTGCCCCATCTCCTAATACCATCACGTTGAAGGTTAAGGATTTCAACATATGAATTTTACAGGGACACAAACATTTAGTCCATAACATGTGTGGTCCACTTAGACTGTGCTATACAAATGTAGAGGATTTTATTACGATTTCTTAATGCGTAACGTAATGTGAAAGGTCTCAGAGATACTATGAGAGAAAGACCATACAGCCTCTGGCCTATGGGGGGGGGGAGGAGAGGAGTGGGTAGAGAAAGAGAGAGAGAGAAGGGGAGGGAAAATGGGTCCTAGAGAGAATCTTGTCCTTAGGGCTGCCTCAGATCCCAATAATATACATGAGTGAGTTTCTGTTTTTTATAACAAAACCAAAAAAACTAACTAGAAAATGGAGAAAAATCTTTATCTAAATTAACTTTTTCCAGAGCATCAAATGATACTCCGGTGTAGTGTATATAGGTAGAAACACCCAAATGCTAGCATTTTGGAAAAAAAGTTACATAATTCACCAAAAAAAGAGCATTTCCTCCTGGACCTCTCCTCAGACCTTCAATCTCACTCCTCCACCAAAATAACTATTATTAATGTAAAAAGGCGAAAAGAGCCAGCATGTGAGCTTTGGCTCAGTGAAGCGATGGTGGAACAGCCTTCCTTCCTTCTGACTGCATTTGGCTCCTGTGTATTTCCTGCAGGTACATTTTTTGGCCTGGATCATCAGCGCAGTGTTTTGCTTAGCAACTGATGGGCTTTCATTGAAATACCTCTCTGCTTAGAGGGAGAAGACTTGCCTATGTCACCTTAGAAGTTAATATATTATGCTACAGTGGGGTGCAGCTAGAAAGTTATGAACAATATTTCCCGAAATGCTTTCACTGGGACCCTATCCCTGTGAGATGCTATGTGACAAAATGTCCCGAGGTCAAATAAGTTTGGGAAATGCTGCCTTCTGTATTGCCTCGTAAGGAGTCATTAATGCACATGAACATGTTAAAAGTCTTCTCTGCTGGCTCCTCCTCTGTACCAGATTTCCCAATTCGAAGTGCCTTTGGGGGTTGGCTTTGGGCCTTAACTCCTCTCTGCACTCTCCCTAGATGATCTCGTCCAGATCCATGACTTTAAATACCACCTCAATGCCAATGATTTCCCAGTTTATATCACAGACCTTTCTCCTAAGCTCCAGACTCCTAGATATATCTGTCTACTTGATAGTACCTCTTACATGTGTAATAGGTATCTTGAACAGAATGTGGATAAAACAATCTCTTGATTTCCTTCACCCCTGTAAGTCTTTGCTTCCTTAGTCTTTGCTTGCTCAGTTAATAATTCTACCTTTAATTAACTGCTCAAGCTCAAGCCCAAGAGCTACAAATCATCACTGTCTTCTCTCTGGTCCCTATTTCCCACATTAACCCATCAGGAAGCCCTGCTTTCTTCACTCCTGAAAAACATGCTGGCACCATCCACATCTCTCTACCTGTTCTGACAACCCCATCATCATCTCTCAGGTGAGCTACTGTAAGAGACTCCTAACTGGTCTCCACCTGTAATCATGGCCTTTAAATTCCATTCTCTACACAACAGCCAAGGAAATTTCTTTTTTTCAAATTGTAGTATTAGATTGTGCTAAGGCTTAAAGCCCTTCATATTGCTTTCCACTGCACCAACGGTCAAATCTTCCTTCTTACCACGTCCTCTAAGATCATCTCCTGACATGCACTTTCCTGTTTGGTCAGTTTCTCAGCTCCAGCACAGAGGCTCTCTTTCTTCTTCCAACATGCCAAGCTTTGTCCTGCCAGGTCTGTGGACTCATTGTTCCCTCTGCTGTCTGCATTTCCCCAACTCCAGTTCTTCCCTGTAACATCACCCCTTAATGTCTTCACAGTCCCTACCATTATTTGAGATCTTACTTGTTTGTTTGGTCATTCACCTTTTTTTGGGAACCGCCTAGAAAGTGAATTCTATGAAGACAGGGTAGGGGTCTTATCTGTTCTGCTCATTCTTCATCAGGATTTGTTCAGGGCCTGGAGCAGTGCCTGGCACATAATAGACTCTCAATAAGTATTTGCCAACTGTATGAAATGATTTGAGAAATTATGTATTGGAGAAAACTGTGAAACTTAGTTTAACCCTACATTCTTCAAATTTATTTGAGCTCAGAACCCTATCTGCCATTGTAAAGAATATTCACTATCCCAGGGACCATTTCCTGGAATGCAGTTTGTTCTATGCTGATTTTTTTTTTGCTTGTTTTATTTATTTATTTATTTATTTATTTATTTATTTATTTATTTATTTATTTATTTATTTTTTATTCTTATGTTAATTCCCATACATTACATCATTA